GGATTAAAAAACAAGACCCATCGATATGCTGTCTGCAAAAGACTCATTTTAGACCCAAAGACAACCCCAGATTGAAAGTGAGGGGGTGGAAAACCATTTACCATGCTAATGGACACCAAAAGAAAGCTGGGGTGGCAATCCTTATATCAGACAAATTAGATTTTAAACCAAAGACTGTAATAAGAGATGAGAAAGGACACTATAGCCTACTTAAAGGGTCTATCCAACAAGAAGATCTAACAATTGTAAATATCTATGCCCCTAACATGGGAGCAGTCAATTATATAAGGCAATTAATAACTAAAGCAAAGGAACACAGTGACAACAATACAATAATAGTGGGGGACTTTTAATACCCCCCTCACTGAAATGGATAGATCATCTACGCAAAAGATCAAAGAAATAAAGACTTTAAATGACACACTGGACCAAATGGACTTCAAAGATATATTCAGAACATTCCATCCCAAAGCAACAGAATATACATTCTTCTCTAGTGCCCATGGAACATTCTCCAGAATAGATCACATCCTAGGTCACAAATCAGGTCCCAACCAGTACCAAAAGATTGGGATCATTCCCTGCATATTTTCAGACCACAGTGCTTTGAAACTAGAACTCAATCACAAGAGGAAAGTTGGAAACAACTCAAATACTTGGAGGCCAAAGAGCGTCCTACTAAAGAACGAATGGGTCAACTAGGAAATTAAAGAATTAAAAAAATTCATGGAAAAAAATGAAAATGTAAACACAACTTCAAAATCTTTGGGATGCAGCAAAGGCAGTCCTAAGAGGAAAGTATATAGCAATACAAGCCTTTCTCAAGAAACAAGAAAGGTCTCAAATACACAACCGAACCCTACACCTAAAGGAGCTAGAGAAAAACAGCAAATAAAGCCTAAACCCAGCAGGAGAAGAGAAATAATAAAGATCATAGCAGAAATCAATGAAATAGAAACCAAAAGAACAGTACAACAGATCAACGAAACCAGGAGCTGGTTCTTTGAAAGAATTAACAAGATTGATAAACCCCTGTCCAGACATATCAAAAAGAAAAGAGAAATGACCCAAATCAACAAAATCATGAATGAAAGAGAGATCACAACCAACACCAAAGAAATACAATTATAAGAACATATTATGAGCAACTATATGCCAGCAAATTAGATAACCTGGAAGAAATGGATGCATTCCGAGAGATGTATCAACTACCAAAACTGAATCAGGAAGAAATAGAAAACCTGAACAGACCTATAACCACTAAGGAAATTGAAGCAGTCATCAAAAATCTCCCAACAAACAAAAGCCCAGGGCCAAATGGCTTCCCAGGGGAATTCTACCAAACATTTAAAGAAGAATTAATACCTATTCTTCTGAAACTGTTCCAAAAAATAGAAACGGAAGGAAAACTTCCAAACTCATTTTATGAGGCCACCATTACCTTGATCCCCAAACAAGAAAAAGACCCCCATCAAAAAAGAGAATTAAAGACCAATATCCTTGATGAACATGGATGCAAAAATTCTCACCAAGATCCTAGCCAATACAGTACATTAAAAGGATTATTCACCACAACCAAGTGGGATTTATCCCTGGGCTGCAAGGTTGGTTCAACATCCACAAATCAATCAATGTGATATAATACATTAACAAAAGAAAGAACAAGAATCATATGATCCTCTTAATAGATGCAGAAAAAGCATTTGACAAAGTACAGCATCCTTTCTTGATCAAAACTCTTCAGAGTATAGGGATAGAGGGTACATACCTCAATATCATAAAAGCCATCTATGAAAAACCTACAGCGAATATCATTCTCAATGGGGAAAGACTGAGAGCTTTCCCCCTAAGGTCAGGAACACAGCAGGGATGTCCACTATCACCACTGCTATTCAACATAGTATTAGCAGTCCTAGCCACAGCAATCAGACAACAAAAATAAATAAAAGGCATCCAAATCGGCAAAGAAGTCGGACTCTCACTGTTTGCAGATGATATGATACTTTACATGGAAAACCCAAAAGACTCCACCCCAAAACTGTTAGAACTCATACAGGAATTCAGTAAAGTGGCAGGATATAAAATCGATGCCCAGAAATCAGCGGCATTCCTATACACCCACAACAAGACAGAAGAAAGAGAAATTAAGGAGTCGATCCCACTTACAATTGCACCCAAAACCATAAGATACCTAGGAATAAATCTAACCAAAGAGGCAAAGGATCTGTACTCAGAAAACTATAACATACTCAGGAAAGTAATTGAGGAAGACACAAAGAAATGGAAAAACGTTCCATGCTCAGGGATTGGAAGAACAAATACCGTAAAGATGTCAATGCTACCTAGAGCAATCTACACATTCAATGCAATCCCCATCAAAATACCATCCACTTTTTTCAAAGAACGGGAACAAATAATCCTAAAATTTTTATGGAACTAGAAAAGACCCTGCATAGCCAGAGGAATATTGAAAAAGAAAAGCAAAGCTGGTGGCATCACAATTCCGGACTTCCAGCTCTATTACAAAGCTGTCATCATCAAGACAGTGTGGTAGTGGCACAAAAACAGACACATAGATCAATGGAACAGAATAGAGAGCCCAGAAATGGACCCTCAACTCTATGGTCAACTCATTTTCGGCAAAGCAGGAAAGAATGTCCAGTGGAAAAAAGACAGTCTCTTCAACTAATGGTGTTGGGAAAATTGGACAGCCACATGCAGAAGAATGAAACTGGACCATTTCCTTACACCACACACAAAAGTAGACTCAAAATGGTTGAAAGACCTAAATGTGAGACAGGAGTCCATCAACGTCCTAAAGGAGAATACAGGCAGCAACCTCTTCGACCTCAGCCGCAGCAACTTCTTCCTAGAAACATCGCCAAAGGCAAGGGAAACAAGGGCAAAAATGAACTATTGGGACTTCATCAAGATAAAAAGCTTTTGCACAGCAAAAGAAACAGTCCACAAAACCAAAAGACAACCGACAGAATGGGAGAAGATATTTGCAAATGACATATCAGATAAAGGGCTAGTGTCCAAAATCTATAAAGAACTTATCAAACTCAACACCCAAAGAACAAATGATCCAATCAAGAAATGGGCAGAAGACATGAACAGACATTTTTCCAAAGAAGACATCCAAATGGCCAACAGACACATGAAAAAGTGCTCAACATCTCTTGGCATCAGGGAAATCCAAATCAAAAACCTCAATGAGATACCACCTCACACCAGTCAGAATGGTTAAAATTAAGAAGTCAGGAAACTATAGATGTTGGCGGGGATGTGGAGCAAGGGGAACCCTCCTACCTTGTTCGTGGGAATGCAAACTGGTGCAACCACTCTGGAAAACAGTATGGAGGTTTCTCAAAAAGTTGAAAATAGAACTACCGTACGATTCAACAATTGCACTACTGGGTATTTACCCCAAAGATACAAATGTAGGGATCTGAAGGGGTACATGCACACTGATGTTTATAGCAGCAATGTCCACAATAGCCAAACTGTGGAAAGAGCCAAGATGTCCATCGAAAGATGAATGGATAAAGAAGAAGTGGTATATATATACAATGGAATATTATGCAGCCATCAAAAGGAATGAGATCTTGCCATTTGCAACGGCGTGGATGGAACTGGAGGGTGTTATGCTGAGCGAAATAAGTCAATCAGAGAAAGACATGTATCATATGACCTCACTGATACGAGGAATTCTTAATCTCAGGAAACAAACTGAGGGTTGCTGGAGGTGGGGGTGGGAGGGATGGGGTGGCTGGGTGATAGACATTGGGGAGGGTATGTGCTATGGTGAGCACTATGAATTGTGTAAGACTGTTGAATCACAGACCTGTACCTCTGAAACAAATAATGCAGTATATGTTAAGAAAAAAAAAGATAGCAGGAAGGGAAGAATGAAGGAGGTGTGAAATCGGCGGGGGTGATGAACCATGAGAGACGATGGACTCTGAAAAACAAACGGAGAGTTTTAGAGGGGAAGGGGGTGGGAGGATGGGTTAGCCTGGTGATGGGTATTAAGGAGGGCACGTTCTGCATGGAGCACTGGGTGTTATGCACAAACAATGAATCATGGAACACTATATCAAAAACTAATGATGTAATGTATTGTGACTAACATAACAATAAAAAAATTTAAAAAAAAGAATAAACTGCATCCTTCCAGTTACCATAGGCATCGTTTTATATAAAACATTACCATAAAGTGACGCATTTTAGGATTTGTGGACTATTACTGGTCTCACTCAATTCAATGGGTTGGTCAGAGAATAAAAACTATTTTTGGGGGGGGGGAAGGGCAGAGAGTGAGAATCTGAAGCAGACTCCATGCCCAGCACAGAGCCCAAAGCAGGGCTCGATCTTACAACCCTGAGATCATGACCTCAGCCAAAATTAAGTGTTGGACTCTTAACCGATTGAGTCACCCAGGTGCTCCGGGGGATATAAACTTTAAAAGACAGTTATACTCAGTTAATGTCTGAAAAACCAGGAATCCAATTTTATGTTTCAGCTATTAAATGTATCAAGAAGCACTGAATTTAATAAGCATTAAAATGATTAGCTTGTCAATTTCAAATCATTCTTAGACTTATCAATAAGCCTGTGATATACTGAAACCAACTGGACTCCTAGAGAGGGGTACCAGAGAGCACGGGCAGCAGCCCCGGTGAGGAGGGGCCAAGTCTGGTTCCCACCACTGACCGGACACCCAGCCCAGCACCTGGCGCACAGATGCTCGTTGAAGAGATGGCCACATAGAGAGCTGAAAAAAATGGGACAGAATGAGCATTTCTTAACACCCACAAAGTCCATTTCTACTTGAATTAATCAAAAAGCCTGTCTTGAAAGTTTCCTTAGTTTATCTGCTGAATGTAATAGGATCTAAGGTCCTTCAAAGCTTCCTTCCTCCAGGACACTGTTACAACAAACAGGACCACTGGAAAAACAATCAGGGAGGAGCAAAAGTCACCACCCACACTCCTCACCTGCCATGTCGATGGCAAAAGGCCTGTCTGCTCTCCAGCCGGTGTACCAGCCAACGACTTTGCCGTTTTCCACCAACGGACGTTCATAGCGTCGCCCACCAACCAGGCCCACTGGCCAGACAGAGACTTTGCGTGTAGTTCGCATCTATAAAAAGGGGAAAGAGAGGTGGTTTAAGTTTCCTGAGGGAAAATAACCTGAAGGGAAGAAAGAAATGTGAACCACACAGAAGAAGTGGGGTGGGTGGGGTGACATAGATTTTCAGAAGCTGAAGGTTCCGAACAGAACCCTCCTACTGGCAGCCTGTGGCCCGATGCGCAGCTGCTTGGCACCATCGGCCACCCTCTGTCGCGGTCAGCTGGCAGCTCAAGGCTTAAAAGAAATAAAGTGGGTGCAGTAGCTGAACATCACTTATTTGAAGCTAAGTTGTGACTATCAAAAATATTTTCTATTTGTTTCAAAGTTGAATCTTCAAACTTTGCATCTTTGGAAGTGAGAGGGTTGACTTCCCTTTAGGAAACTTGATTGCTCAGTAACAGCAAAAATTTCACTCAGAGAAGCCACAGGAGTTGCCTTTCTATGAATTTTTTATTTATACATACACAGAAATAGTGGCTGGGGGCGTTACTAATGGCATCCAGATACAGAACAAATACCAGGCATTCTCCAGAGAGACAAAAAGTAAAACGTACCCTACATTCCACCTTTCGAGGGAAACTGGGCCCAACTAGAGGAGGAAATTTGTCATGCGCTCAGCTGCAGAAGCTGGCCCTCTCTCTCCAAGCACACACTGTAGCACCTGGCAGAGTTCTGGTTAAAGACAGCCCTCCACTGAAAGTGATTTGCTGGATTTCTTTAGGGAGAAAGACATGTTCACAACAAAGCTGGCTATTGGGGCAGCATTTTGGGGGAAAACCACCACCACCACCACCCTCTAAGACACGTGTTGAACAGGACCAGAAGCAGCCCACAAGACACCTTTGTGCAAACTAAAGCTTCCCTTTTCTCGGGCACACACATATGCAGGGGCCTGTGGCTTGGCCATTAAAGTATAGGCTGATGTCAGCTCCACTCACCCCCTTAGCTGGGGGTGTCCTTGGGCGTAACCTACCCAGCTGCATTTGGTGGGCCTGTTGTAATGACAATTTCAACACCAAAGCTTTGTCTTTTATTTGCTACAGAACTGGGTCATGATCAGTTAACCAATGGTTAAAATAATGATTATCAATCAAGGATTTTTTTTTAAGAAAAATTATATACTTGGGAAATATTTGCAAATATTATTCAAATGAAAAGTCTCATTTTTAAGATTTTATTTATTTGACAGAGAGAGAGAGAGAGAGCACGCACAAGCAGGGGGAGCAGCAGAGGGAGAAGGAGGCTTCCTGCTGAGCAGAGAGCCTGACCTGATGAGGGGCTTGATCCCAGGACCCCGGGATCATGACCAGAGCCGAAGGCAGATGCTTAACCGACTGAGCCACCCAGGCGCTCCTCAAATGAAAAGTCTTATCATGAAAGAATAAAAAATAACTAGAAGCTCCCATTTCCCAGGCATTCCAATTTCACTTACTAATCTCCCACCTCACTCCAAAAAGATTTAAGGGCATGAAGCATTTCAGGTAACAAAGACCTCACTGTATTGGTCTTCCACAAATCTAGAATTATTTTTATAACCTATTACTTTCTCAATAAATTAATCACCATTGCCTTGTGCTCATACTAACTTATATGAGGATTTTTAAAAAGTCCTACTGAGGTATAATTGTAGAAAAGAGTTCATAGTTCAGAGACTACTGTCTAAGAGACTTGCTTATAAGGCTGGCCCTTGGCTGGCATCTGGGAACCTGGCTTTTCAAACAGTCCCCACACTCAAAGTTTTGTCTGCCTGAGGGCACTAAACACCCGTTTTCCTTTTGGGAATCTGAAACATTGGCAGGCAGGAGGTGCCTACATGACGATAAAAAACCCTGAACCCTGAACGTTACATGGGTTTCCCAGGGCATAAGCATCGCACACCTGGGATGACAGTTTTGCTGCTGGAGGGAAGATGTGCTTGTGTGACCCCTTGTGGGAGGGAGAGAACATAGGGAGTCTACACATGGATTCCTCCAGACCCTTCTTGTTCCCTCACTGAGCTAGCTATGTATCTTTACTGTGTCACTGTCATAAATCTAAGCCTCAAGTACAACTATATGCTGGGTGCTATGTGTCCCAGTCAATCACCAAACACATGGCTGGTCTTGGGGGATCCCTGGAAGAATAAAATGTAATTTTTAAAGTGTAAAATGTGATACATGTTGATACATGTATGTAGCCATGAAACCATCACCACAATGATGAACATATTCATTATCCCACAAAGTTCCCTTGTGCTCATTTCTTAATCCATCCCTCCCATCACCCTCTACATCCCGGATCCCATCTGCTCATCCCCTATACCACTGAGCTCTTGTCCCTATGCATTAGTTTGCATTTCATAGAACTGTGTCTGAATGGAATCACACAGCATGTACTTTTTCATTTGGCTTCTTTTACTCTGTACAACTATAGAAAGATTTATCCATGCTACAATATATCAATAGTTAACTCCTTCATATTACCAAAGAGTATTTTGTGGTATGGATGTGCCACAGGTTGTTTTTGTTTTTATCCATTTGCCTGTTGACAGACATATAGGTTGTTTCCAACTTGTGGCTATTACAGATGAAGCAGCTGTGAACATTTGTGTACATATGAACTTCACTTTTTTTCTTTTGATAGATACCTGAGGGGAATGACTGGATCACATGGTATGTATACATTTAACTTTTTAAGAAACTGCCAAATTATTTTTCAAAGTGCTTGCACCATTTTACATTCTCACTAGAGTGTGTGAGAGTCCCAGTTACTGCACATCCTCATCAACACGTGTGGTCAATGTTTAATTTTAGCCAGTCTCATAGATAGTAGTATCTCACTGTGCTTTTAATTTGCATTTTTCTATAATGATGTTGACTATCTTTCCTGTGCTTATTTGCCATGCATAATCTTTTTGGTGAAATATACGTTCAAATCTTTTGCCTGTTTTTAAAACTGTTTACTTTTTTGCTATTGAGTTTTGAGAGTTATTTATATATTCTGCATACAAACCCCTTCTCAGATGATTTGATTTATGAATTTTCATAATTGTGATTTACAATATTTTATATTTATATTTTATCCCAGTCTGTGGCTTATCATAATGTTCATTCTCGTAATAATGTGTTTTGAAAACAGAACTTTTAATGTTGATAAAGTCCATCTAATTCATCAATTTGTTCTTTCATGGATGATGCTTTTGATGTTATATCTAAAATCTTTGCCTAACTCAGGGGTGCCTGGGTGGCTCCGTTGGTTAAGTGACTGACTCTTGGTTTCAGCTCAGGTCATGATCTCAGGGTTTTGGGATCGAGCCCCCCCCCCCCCCCCCCCCCCCCCCCCCCCCCCCAGGCTCTGCGCTCAGCATGGAGTCTGTTGGAGATTATCTCCCTCTCCCTCTGCTCATCTCCTTCTTGTGAGCACTCTCTCTTTCCCTATCTCTCTAAAATAAACTCTTAAAAAAAATAAGATCTTTGCCTAACACAAAATCACAAGAGTTTTCTCCTCCTCTCTACAAGTATTATAGTTGTAGGTTTTAGGTTTATGATCTATTTAGGTGATGATCTATTTTGAATTAATTTGTGAGTATGGTATGAGAGACTGACTGTACCACCCAAACACTCCTGAAGTTATTTTCTTTCTTCTTTTTGCATATGGATATCCAATTGTTCCAACCACAATATGTAAATGGATATGCAACTGTCCCAGAACAACTGCATTGTCTTTGCACCTTTGTCAAAAATAAGTTGCCGAATATGAGTGGGTTTATTTATGGACGTTCTCCTCTGATCGGCTGGTCCATTTGGTGATCTTGATGCTAACACTGTCCTGATTTACTGTAGCTTTATAATAACCCTGGTAATAGGCAGTGTTAGTCCTCTGTTCTTCTTCACCAAAGTTGTTTTGACTGTTCTAATTTCTTTTCCTTTCCATACGAGTTTCAGATGCACTTGTCCATTTTAGCAAATTTTGATTGGGATTGCATTAAATCTATATATCAATTTGGTGAGAACTGACAAGCTTAAAATCGAGTCTTCTAAACCCACGAATATGACCTAGCTCTTCACTTAGATTTTTAATTTTCCTCAGCAATGTTCTCGTGACTTAATTCTTGAATCAATACTAACGTTTAATGCTTATATCCTAGGTCTTCTCCATAGGTGGGGAAAATAAAAACCCAGAAAATTTATTAAATTTCCACAGAAATATAGCCCTCTCCCCAAATCACTCTACCTTCAAACTCCTGTTCCCTCACACACTGTGGAAAACATAAACATTTCTACTTTGTTTTATGTATCAAACATGCCAAACATATGAAGAAACTAAAAATCTAATACGTGTGTTTTTCCTCAATTGACACAATGGCCTTACATCTATCTATAAAGTACTAAAAATAGTACTCTGTTCTTTTTTGGTATTTCCTTAATGTGATTTTTCAGCTCCTAAATTGCTTTTGCGCAGAGCACTAAATTTTCAAATCTGCTAAACACTGGTAAACAGACCCCACCTCAGCCTCGTGTGTCCTCTTGAAAATGCATAGGTTATGCCCTGCGTGCATCAGGTGCCAAAAAATTCTTGATAAGCACCAGGTAGTAAATGAAATGAAGACCACGTGTAACAAGCAAGCAGTGTGTGCCTGTGCAGGCCAAGGGACAAGTTCACAATGAAAAAAGGACAGACAATAAACGAACAGAAGTTAAAAATGTTTTTTAAAATAGGAATGGAGAAATCGCCATTTTTTTTTAAGATTTTATTTATTTATTTGAGAGAGAGAGAATGAAAGAGAGCATGAGAGGGAAGAGGGTCAGAGGGAGAAGCAGACTCCCCGCTGAGCAGGGAGCCCGATGCGGGACTCGATCCTGGGACTCCAGGATCATGACCTGAGCCGAAGGCAGTCACTTAACCGACTGAGCCACCCAGGCGCCCAAGAAATTGCCATTAAAGAGAATAATAAACCATAACTGTGAGACCATTAGCATGAGGGAATTAAACATGGCCAAGCACGTATTGTGGCAGGCTTTTCACTTAAG